ATTTAACCTAAGTCCGCTGGGCTCCGGGAAGAGGTAGAGCTGGGATTTAACATAAGTCCGCTGGGCTCCGGGAAGAGGTAGAGCTGGGATTTAACATAAGTCCGCTGGGCTCCTGAGTTCATTCTCTAGCCACTGCATTATGCTACCTCTCTACTGACCTCTAGGACAATAGAACTCTGCAAAGCCGTTTGGAGCTTCTGACTTAGAGGCTTTGAATGGCTTGTCCCCTGTTACGGACATAGCAATTGTATTTTATTCTTTTTACTTTCTATCCTTAAGTATCCAATGTACTCAGTACTATTATAAAACCAATTTACAGTTACACTTTCATATGAAAGATAAATCACAACTATAGCCCAAAATGAAGGAGGGCGATGGGAGGGAGGAGGTTTGATGGAGGGTAAATGGTGGGACTACACCTATGGTACATATTGCAAGGGTACATGTCCAATCTATTAAGTATAGAGTATGAATGTCTTAATACAATAATTAAGTAAATGAGGCGAAGGATGTATTAACTAGTTCAATGTAAGCATTCCAAATTGTATATAAAATCAGCACATTATACCCCATAAAAGCATTAATGTATACATGATCCATGTGTTTATATGACTTAATAAGAGAAAAAGAAAATCTATCTGCATTGCAAAAGCTCAGATGTAGATCATAATTATTCTTTGCTTCTCTTAAAGTATATGTGAGATATTGTTGGACTCTATGACAGAATAAAATCATAGATATAAATGATTCATACCCCGAGGTTTGGGGGCTCCTTAAGTTGTTAAGTATAAAATGTCCAATTTCCTTAAATACTAAGTTTCACAGTTGATATCTCTGACATTTCACTTTGTACATACCCAGTCTTTCAAATACATGTTTTGGCTTGTGGTTATTTTTCAAAAAAATTTTAGAGCAATTTTTGTGAAACCATGAATAAGTCAAAAATTTGTGTTATTTTCAAATATAAGTTCCGTTGTGGAATAAATGAAGTGCAGAAAGCTTGAAATATCAACAAAATGCTGGGGGAAGGATGTGGCTAATAAATACACAATACATTCAGTCTGAGAGGTTCCCATTCTGGTGGTTTTAATCTCAAAAATGAGCCACTTGGGTGACCTGAGACAAAGGTGGATAATGATGAGCTGAAAGCTGTAGTGAAAGTGAATGCATCTCAGCCTATGTGTGATTTAGCAGCCAGGCTTGACTTCGCTGTTCCAACAGTAGTGGACCATTTGAAACAAATTGGTACAATAAAGAAGCTGGATAGTTGGGTTCCACGTGAATTAAACAAGCGAGAAATCATATCAGAGCTTGCCTTTCTTTGCTGTCACATCATAAAGGTAAACTGTATTGTTACATGTGATGAAAAACGGATTCTTTTTTGACAATCACAGCCATTTGGCACAATGGTTAGATAAAGATGGAGTGCCAAAACACAGTCCAAAACCAAATATTCATCACAGAAAGCTAATGGTGTCTGTTGGTGGTCCAGCGCTGGTGTTACCCACTACAGCTTCATGAAACTTACTCAGTTGATTACAGCAGATGTCCACTGCAAGTAATTGGATGAGATGATGAGTATGTTTGTGATTAAGCAGCTGAGATTGGTCAATAGAGACAGACCAGTCCTCTTGCCAAGATAACGCTTGACCTCATGTCACACAAATAATGCTGCTCAAACTATAGAAGCTGGAATTGGAAACTCTGTCATCCATAGTGTTCGCCAGATCTTGAGCCAACTGACTTCTACTTCTTCCAGGCTTTGGCCCACATTTTACAAGGTGAAATAGTTCTCAACAAGCCTTGGAAAGTGGCATTTGCAATTTCATCACCACTTGCTCTCCAAGCTACCATTAAGATGCTACAACTGTGTCAGTAGTTAGGCACATACTTGGATTCATTGTACTGCTTCTTGTTTGAGATACCACAAACTAAACTTTTGATTTGAAAGCAGACATTTCATGTTTAATGACAAAATAAATTCTTGACTGGGACTCAGGATCCAGGATGGTTTGCAATATTTTAGGGCATGTATTTTTTCTAGGGAAAGGGTTCATAATTTTTATTACATTATCAAAGGACCAGGTCTTTTGAAATTGTTAAAAATTACCTGTTGAAAGATTGAAATTATTTTTAAATCTTTCTAGTCTAGGTAATAGGTGTTTTAATACTTTCAAGATTATTTTCTTCTGATGTATGCTACCATATTTAAATGCACTAGTAATAACATCCGTGCATAAGCTCAGACATTAGGAAAACTCACTCTTGAAAATAATAGCTACCCGGGAAAACATTTTATATTTTAGGTAGAAGTATCATGTTCTTTCTATTAAAATCCCAGCATTAAATATAAAGTTTGTTTTTTTGTGAGGTCACTTTTTAAGTGGGAAAATTTTGTCTTATGACTGTCTTGTTTTTTAGGACCCAACCCTGGAAGAAAAGATGGAATATTTTCTGAGTCAACTTTTAATTCTCCACAGGGTGTAGCCATAAAGAATAATATCATATATGTGGCGGACACTGAAAACCACCTTATAAGGAAGGTAAGTTTTCATTTTAAAGTTTTAATACTTCTAACCAGAAAAACTGATCTTTATTTGCTACATTAAATATCAGCAGTTAAAGGGTGATGCTTTAGTGTGTTACAGCTCCCTTATAGGGCTTTTCCCAAGGTGCTTGCTTTAGTTTGTTTTTCTCTGTGTCACAACATAGTTGCCACAGAAGAAAAGCTCATAGTTATCTTTTAATCTTTTGTTTCAAAGTTGTTTGCCTAAACACTCAAAAGTACCTCATTTTAAAATATTTTTTTTTTCTTTTTTCTTTTTCCTTTTTTTTTGGCAGGGGTGGATGGGGGACAGGTTTCTTTCTGTTGCCTGGGCTAGAGGGCAGTGGCATCATCATAGCTCACTGCACCCTCAGCTCTTGGGCTGAACAATTCCTCTTAAACTCCTGGCTTCAAGCAATCTTTCCACCTCAGCCTCCCAGAGTACTAGTATTACAGACTTGAGCCACTGACTGTCCAGCCTGAATATTTTCTTAGCCACTAGTTTACAAAGTGATCCCTTGTGCTTTTTCAGTTAAATTTTCTCAAACTAGAAAAATATCTGCCTCCCTACAACTCTTGTGCCTTGGCTAGAAATACTAACCAATTATTCTTCATTTTTGTTTTATCTCATTATGTAAGTAATATGTGTTCTTGATTTTGAGAAATCTGTTAATATATAAGACTAAAAAAGTCCCCAGATCATCAATTCCTAACCACTCTTAGTAAAGTTTGTGCCTTTTTCAGACATTTTATATTCATACAAAAATAAATTGATATTAAAAGAACTTTCTTCTGGAGCACTTTTCTGGTCTTGGGCTGTTACAGATTATCTGGCTGTGAACATTCATATATAAATTTTACAAGCACATAATTTTCATTTCTCATGGGTAGATACCTAGAACTGGAATAGTAGAATTGCACGTTTTGTATTTAGTTTCCGAGAGCTGCTACCTTGTCTCCGCTAGCAGTTGCACCATTTTATATTCCCGCCTGCAATATCTGTGGGAATATTCTCCACATCCTTCCCATCACTTGTTACTTTTCTTTTTCTTTTTCTTTTTTTTTTTTTTTTTTTTTGAAAC